TATATTTATACATATATTTTATATCTGTTCTGGTAGCACATGTCAATGAATGTATGCGCAATGGCGATTTCATTTCGTATGAAACAAACAATTTAAACTGACGGTCGATTTTTGTTTTTCTTGTTTTGTATAGCTCAATTATATCAAAACGAGAGAATTTCATTTGACAAAAAAAAAAACAAAATAAAAAAAAAACAAACCATATGACGATAAAAGAAAATGAACAAGTTCGTATGTATAAATTAATCAGATCAACTAACGATGGCGAACAAGACAAGGTTTAATTTTGTTTTGTTTTTTTGTTTTCACAAATTTATTTCAATGGATTTCTTATGAAAACAATTTCATAACAACACATATAAATAATTAATTAAATCGCTTAAATTGTAAGAAGACTGTGTTGACGACAAAGACAAAAAATATGAAACCATTTAACATCCTGCTCGAAACTCATACATGAATGATGAAATTTAAAGTGAAAAACCAAACCTATAATATTGAAACAAACAATGCAACTGAAATTAGAGAAGAAAAAAAAGACGGCACTAAAATCCATCAAACATCATGCACATAGCCAAGACACAAGAGACACACATAAACAACATAATATGCAAATTAGAAAAGCATTATGATGAACCGAGCATTTAGTTTAGTTCTGTTTGCGAGACAATATTTCTCTGTTCTGTTATAGCATCATCTAATATTTAAAACAAAAAAAACCAAGCTGATTTATTTATTTTGTTTTCCATATGCATTCGCATTCGATAGAGAAGACAGATGGAAAACAAATTCATATATAAAAAGAAGTAAAAAAGATCGACATTCTTATTAATAAATCTCACTATGCATTAACCAATCATTTATTATTGATTTTTTTTTAATTTTTAAATAAAGTAATAAGAAAATTGTAATAAAAATAAAATGAACACAATTTATGCGTTTTCATTTGTGTAAATTTTTATTTCACCAGAAATATGTCCGGATCCAGTTGAAAGATATGGTTAGTATCACGTCAACATCGTTTTTAGTTCAAAAACGCTTTATATACTCGAGAATTTAACTTAGTAGATACTTCGAAACGACTTCTTTGCACTTAGAAAGTTTATGTTTTATTTACTATGTCAAAACTCGAGATTATTTTCAGTTATAGCAATACCATCTAGATAATAGTCTCCAACGTGATTTTAACATTATTACTTTAGATTCAGAAATCGGTTAGTATGCTCAACCAAATGAACTCGAACCAACACCTCTAATATAAATTGAGCTCTTTTACCCCTGATAAGCACTTATTGGTTCAGTCTGGTTTTAAATCTTTGAAGTGAAAATTTTTTTGATAGACGTTCATGCACACGGAATGTGGTTTATGTGATTTTTTTAATGAATGATAATTTGAATGATTAGTTGAATGCTGCTAATCAAAATAATTCATCTCATCTCGAAGTATTTAACTGATCGGAATAAATTTATTCGTTTTGTTTTAATACATCTCACTTAAACAACCCTACGTTGATCAGAACAATGGAAAAAATGAAAATTAATCAATAAGTAATGGAACAGAATGGAAAATCGGAAAATGAATCAGGAATTGTGGAGCAATGGAAGTAATGATGAAAAAATGATCCTACGTTTGATTTAGAATTTTTCGGTAATAAGACTAGTATGGCCGAATCAATCAATTTCATAGCAGACGAAATTGTAACCTACACTTAATGTACACTTTTTTAAGACCAAGATACATGGGGTCAATCACGAAATTCTAGTGCATCTAGTTTTTGATAAGATTTCACTAGAAAACTAGAAAATTCTAGTGCTAGTGCGTGAAGTTGGCTCTCACTGAGAGCCTCTCAGTAGTTTTTCATATAAATTATATGGCCTTTGGTGTGAAGTTGGCTTCGTTTGTGACGTCATTCTTCGCACTAGATTTATCAGTTTTTCTAGTATTCACTAGCGTGATTTGCCTCATGCCAAGATACGTTACATAAAATGTTGGATTTACTAAATCTCGGAGTCAGGCAAGATTATAAGTATAGCCAAAAAAGGGGTCCATTTTTGAAATTTTTTTGTAGGCTTAAAACAAAATGCTGTAAACTTACCTAAACTCAATGAAAACAAATAATTTTGAAAAAAAAAAATTGTAGCATAAATATGAGTACGCAGCCTTCAATTTTGGTTATGAAGAAAATCAACCAGACAATATATTTAGCTGCCGTCATCTGGATATTTCAGCTCATCTGGATGCCGTCAGCAGATGATGCGAAGTGAAAACAATAGAAGTGATTGTTATAGTAATACCAGTATATAACAAGCTTATATACCTATAACAATCACTTCTATTGTTTTCACTTCGTATCATCTGCTGACGATATCCAGATGAGCTGTAATATCCAGATGGTGACAGCTAAATATATTGTCTGTTTAAAATGCAACGATTTTCCATATGAAGTTCGACCTTTTACAATCCATAGAACACAGCATTTGTTCGTCAAATAGCTTGGTAAGTAGAGCTCATTTAACTCAATCTCTCCATGAACAAATGTTCGAAACGTTGTTTCAAATATTCGATTCTCTACCGCGTGAAATATTGATAGAGCTAATATATTTGTAATCAAGACTACCTAAATGGCGCCATTTTTGCAGTATATGCATATATCTCATAATAAAATTTAAATTATAAGCGAAAAAGGTGAAAAAAAAAGAAAACATCATTCATTTTCGTTGGCACTGTTATTGCCTTTCGGTGAGAAACCGAAAAAAGTACACGAAGTACAAGTTTGTCCGTTGGTATTCGAAGACACTTTCGATTTAACTGTAGAAATGGCTTCGAATTACATGGGGTACACATTTTCTAAAAAGTACATTTTCATACTTATGATTTATAATTCAATTTCTTCCTCTGTAAAATTCGATGCAATAGATTGAGCGGCTTCAAAACATTCTTGAATACTTCCTCGAATTTGGATGTTGATTGTGTTCAGTAAATTATATATTTCACGAAACAAAAGCAACTCAACCGATTTTCGAGCCAACAAAAATGTTTATTTCTTCACCTTGAGCTCAACCGCTACCTGTTGATTGTAAAATTGTAAAAATCATATGAGTGTCATTACCCTGTGTAAGTAAGTAACATACTTAAATTTTGTCATTTTGTAGTTAGAATCAAATGATTTGGCAGTTTCTTTTTCATTTTAATCTCTTATGAAATTTGTATTCCAAAACCAATTCCGAGTTTAAACTTCTATTTGAAATAATACATTTGCGATTCTAATCAACAATTCCACAAAAAATATCGGCATTTTTAAAGAAAAATTGATTTTGTTAAGAGTGTCTTATGAAAAGGCATTGGGAAAAAAATACAAAATATATCTCCGAAAACAATGACGAATCGGTACAGAAATATTTTGTGTCATCATATTGATAGTTCAAAGCTTGATCTAATCGTTTGTCTAACACACAAAAAGGAAGCGTGTGTGTGTTAATCGAAATTTGATATGACATCACTATTACTGATGATAAATCCGTTTTCAGATCAGTTTCTTTACGAAATACGTTTTCGAAAAAGAAATAATATCAAATATGTGTATGGGTATCGTGAATATAATGCGCACATGTGCTGCACATATGCAAATATAAAAGAGCTCACACAAAACAAAATGTCAGACATTAATATAATACACGAAATCAACAGTGTTACCAACGCTATAGTCGCTTAAATTATTGTATATGCTTATGCGCACTTACGGAACTTAAATAGGATGCCGTCGGATTGGTGAGGTCATTTAAATTTCATATTGTTATAAGGTCTATTCATGAGTTGGCACACAAGTTAAAATTCTACAAAATTTTAATGCGAAGAAACAATATTGCTTGAATTCGATCTTCTTTTTTCAAATTGGCCAGTTTATTGTAGAAAGTGATCATAAAGTTTAATTAACGGCGAATTGGTGAAAAGTAAGTATTTAGTTAAATCTTAAAATTTATTATATGTTCATTTTGTTTCAGTACCTATTTTTGGTCGCCATCTTATGTTAGCCCCAAGCACGACATTTTGGAAATGGAGATTTTTTTTAAGAATTTCCATTTTTAGCATAATAATCTGAATCTAAAACGAAAACGCATTTCAGATTTTCTCAAGGTTTTTTAGAAAAATATTCTTTATCGAGCAAAAACAAAAAGAATTTTTTCTTTCTTTCAAAAATTTGGAACACTTCCGCATGTGCTATTCGATTAGAATTCATGACAACCTCTTCTAGGATGTATAATTTTTCTTCAAAATTCCCAGATTTGTGGAGTTATACCGGAACCTATATTTTATTTCAGATTAAATTTCACTTTGGAACTAGGACTTTCCATGGTAAAGAATCACTTTGTAAGCAAAGAATCACGTTTCATCGATTCGAGATCGTGAACAAAAATCATTTCAAAAATGGAATATTTGTTTTGAAAAAGTATTTGTTTTATCAAAATAGACATTAAAACCGTGAGTCTTTCGTAACCAATCGAATCCAAAGTCTATTTTAACTCGATTTTCATATACATTAAAAAAAAGTCGGATTTACAGAAAAAAAATTATCAGTTTGATTAAATAGCCCTGCCCTATCAACTCAAGAAATATTTGTTAAAAAAATCCAAAATAATCGCACAAAATATTATATTTCTAATTAAAAAGTAAGCATAAAACAATTGAATGCGTTCTCAAATTTCTCAATGTGTTATGGCTAACATTCATTTATTTGTATCAAATTACGTATAAAAAAAATTTCATTGTTTTTTTTTGAAATCCTGTGATGTCTCATGTTCAAATCGAGTATTCGTATTGAGTCATTCATTCATTAAAAGTAAAATGGCGAAAAAGAGAAAGAGAGCGATAATACCGAAAACTGATCGAAACTGTCAAGTTCCGTGACATTATTATTGCCATCTTTGTTTTTTCAATATGGCGTTCACATTGGTTTTGCGCGTTGAACTGTCATACACTATAAGTCTATATTGTATACATACTGTAGAGTTGAATATAGGAAAAGGTTCAAGTGATGTTTTCATTCATCACATCGTATTGTTTAAGAAATTATTATTGAATCATATTTAAGTGAAATTAAAATTAGAAAGTAAAACGAAACAAATTTCGATTGTTTTTTAATAAAATGAATTCAATAAATGTTCGGTAATGTTAATGTGAGTATTTTTATTGAGAAATTGTTTTATAATAAAAACAGTTTGGCTATTATCATTTGCGTGTGTGTACATGCTTGATTATAATAGAAGCGAATGAGAAAAGACGAATTAAAATGTGTGAAATGAAACGCAGCAAGAATTCAAAGCCATTTTAATGTGTGTATAACGTTTATTTTTCATGATTGTGCGTTTCATTTAGGATTTATTTTTTTTATCTTCTCTATGCTTTTTTCACATTCTAACCTGTTTAATTATGCCATATGACAGTTTGTGTTTCTATTTGTAATTTTTCTTTTTCTCTATTTCATGGTTTCAACAAAATCTCGAAAAGGTTGTGTCGATCAATTCCATTTTGTGACTGCATATAGAACGGAATCGAAATGATGCGAATTTCGAATAAACAACGTGCTATAATCAATTCGGCTGTGAAACCACTCAAAATAACGTCTAACTACTTGGGACCCGGCTTACAAAATTTAATAAAATATTATACAAAATACTTTACCAAACGTCGATTTTCAATCGTACACCATTTGCCAGCGTATAAAAATAGCAAATACAATTATATTTTAACTGTGTTGTTCAATGCATATGTGCAAAAAGGTGGATTTGCAAAAAAACGTCATCCGCACACATGGCGATTTTATGGTAATACTCTATTAACGAAATATGGCCGAAAAGAACAACACAAAGAGCTGAAAAAGAAACGAAAAAAGGTTCGACGTCAAAAGAAAAAAACCACATCAAAAAATGTTCGATCAACCGAAATGCATGCAAATGGCGGCGAAAGTACCGGCACCAATTCTAATCAAACAAATAAAAGTGATGAGGATAATGATAGTAATGACAGCGATGTGATTGAAATTATCTCAACGCCACCAAAAGCACAAACAAATTGCACGATAACCGAAAACGATTCCAATGATAAAACAAAAGCAACAACAAACTCAAGCGATGCAACCAAAATCTGGGGTTTGGGCCTTCAGAAAATTTCCAATCATTTTACGGACGAAAATGAAATTATTGAAAGTAAGTGCATTTTAGAAACGCGATGCAATCAAATTTAATTTTGTCCAATAATGAACTTGAAAAATAATCATCCTCTTATCTCAATTTTTTTTTGCTGTAATTTCTTTTATTAGGTACAAACGACAATGAAGATGAACCGAATGAAGTTAAACAGAGTACAGTTGATAAAATTGTTCATGATAGCGAGCAAATTAATTGTGTTGATGAAGAATCACAAGGACAATCATCAAAATCTTCAGGTGATACACAATGTAGCTTAATTAGTCTCGTAATACAGAAGAAGAGATTACGGTCCATATTTGTTGAAGATTTATTGTTATGTTGTTTTAAAAAATATATAAGAGTATGCTTAATTTGCGTATGACATAATTATTTTATGAATTTATTATTTTACAAATCAATCACATAATATGATGAAACAAATGGGAAACAATGTTATTTAAAAAAAAAAATCAATTTATGGCATAGGTGGTGACATCAATGAGAAACTGCGACAGCAGCTAAAACTCTTAAAAATGGGCAAAAGTGATAATTCTTTATTCGCACCAAAAGAGAGTCGTCCTTTAAATATACGAAGTAAAAATTCATCATTTCGACGTTCCAATTCGAATTTATCGATTGAATCTGGCACAAATACAAACACAAATTCAAGAAGAAGCGTTAATGATGTTGGTACGTCAAAATCGACCAATAATTCATTGGAGTGCAGTCCGAAATCAGCTGCTGATGATGATACTAATAAAAATGCCAAAAGCACAAGCCATGAAGAGAACAATGAGGCGAACAAGTCACCAAAAGCAATTGGTGGTATGATAGATTCATTATTTAATAAATTTCAATCGATATTGCCGAAACGTTCGTCGAAATTGAGATCAACACAATCGCCAACAATGAGTTCAGCCGTACCAGCTAAACGAATGAAACGCGACGACACTGTTGAGAGTCTTTTATATGCATCACTTGATTCAAATTTAGATGATTCAAATCAATCGGAAACATCGATGTCGATGGAATTTCTTGGATTTGATATTTCGAATAAAAACGTTGACGTTTCTGCACTTTTGCCCACACCAAAGGTACCATCCTCATCGAATAATCATTCGGCGGCTTTTTTCAGTGAATCATTGGACACGTTTATGAAAGAGAATTTATTGGAAAAAAGCAACGATCAATTACCATTTGCACCGATAAGATGTAGTCGCGATGAAGCGCTCATGACATTTGATGCACAACCACCGAGTTTATCAGTACCAGAACGGCCGAATGATATGCAGCGTCCGCGTACATTGGCCGAAAAACGAATGATTTTACAACAACAGAATGACATTAGTATTTTAATCATTGAAAATGAATCGACGGTGTATCATGAGCTAAAGAAACGTGTCAGACAGGGTCCTTCATATGATAGTACTATGATACGTAGCATTCAAAATACAAGTATACCATTTACGCGTGATTGTTGGCGAGCAGCTTGCTGGATATCAACGTCAAACAATCGCTTTTTCTATCGTACAGTATTGTTCGATGGTGAAGAAATCAAATTGGCCGGTAGCCGAGGTGATAATCCAAATAAACTCGCAATTGACATAAAACCGAATGAGTTGTCGTCTACAAATCGACGATTATCATACATTTGGAATGAATGTCCAAAGAAATGTCCGGCCATCGATGATATTAAAATCAATAACATCGAAGTCATTGTTAATGATAAAGAAAATGCCAATGGAAATACAGAAGATGCATCACAGACAAAAGAAAAATTGGCATTATTAAAAAAATCAAGACTGTGCATGTTTTCACGTGAATATTTGACACCCGGGCCGAAATGTAAGAAAGTCAAATGTAAATCAAATCGAAAGACTTCATTTGATTTGGAGTATGGACCATTGGAATTAGTTCAATTGCCGATGGTTCAATTAGAAGTTTGGCCGCAAGTTGGTTTATCACTTTCTGATCATATCAAACCTCTTCTTAAAACAATTCCAACAAATTCGAATGTTATCACACCGGAATGGGCCAAATTTGCCGCATCAGTTGTCAGGGAACCACCAAAGCAAAAAAAACATCGACGAAAGTACAAAAAACCAGACACCGAACCTCCCGAATCAATTGTTTTTAATATTCCATATGAAAATAATGAAAGAAAGATATTGATTAGACGACGAAGGCGATCGTCAATTGTGTTTAATAAAAATGATACAGTTAACGAGCATATCGAATCATTCTATCGGGAAAATGATGACGACGATTATTTATCGTTTAAAAAACATGTCGATCCGAATGATAAACTTTCCGTTGAATGCGCCGACATTTTAACAAACATGATTGATTCGATTGCGATAGCAGTAAATGATACGAATTTTATAAAACAAGATCCGGATATTGATTATGTTGGCAGAGTTGAACCGGTTTGTGCGTCAAAAGAATCTACCAAAACTACTTTTAAAACAGAAAAAGACAAAAATACTAAATCGGAAAAAACATCGAAAAATAAACTGATGTAAGATTGAAATCATTTCTGATTTCTGTAGTTATCTACATTCTACATATTGTGTAATGATTTGTTTTCTCATTACAGAAAGGAACTGAGGCGATTGAATGTCACCGTCATTGATACGGCCAACGAAATGTCAACGAGTAAAAAGACCGATGAACTGTGTCAGAAATCATTCTGTAAATTGGGATGCGTTTGCGGAAGCATTGATACGGCCAAATACATTCAAATACATTGTCAACGGCCAGAATGCATGTTTGAATGTGTTTGTGTCAATGTAAGTGATTTAATTCAATGCATATTCATTTCAAATGAATTTACCATACTTATTTCTTTCTTTCTTTCTTGACAGTCACCATTTAAGGAGGGCAATCCATTTTATTTGAACAACAGTTTTGATGCATTGCAAGCGCGAGCAAATGCTTGCCTAGCCAAAGAGGAAAAAGAGTTTAAATCAACGATTATTGTTTCGGAAAACGATATGTTTGTGTTGCCAAACACTTCGACCGCCACAAAACGTAGCTCGAAAAAACCAAAACGTTTCACAAATGATGAAACCTATCTCGAAGACACTGAAACCGAAACGATTTTCAAATCAAAACGACGACGACCAGAGGAGAAAGTAACAGTAATTGAACCCCGTCCAACACCAAATAAACATCGTTACAATTTAATAAAATCGCTTCAACATGTGCGTGTCGAATTAAAATCATTGCCCGAACTTGGGGTGGAACCATGGTGCTTAGTGCATTGCCTTTATAAGTGTCATTGCAAAGGACGAGCACAAAAAGGTCGTATATTTAATTTTGCAAATAAAAAGAACGATTTGATTGGTCCAGGCGGTTGGGAAATGATAACGCCACGCAAAAGACAATACACATTTGAACGTGAAAATGGTGTTGGCAGTGGCGATGAACCATTGCAAAAGATTTCAAAAATTGTTACACCAGATGTTGTTCCGAAGATTATCACACCAGAATCTCAACCCGTCATTTCAACGATACCATTAGCTGCTCGAACACGGGTGTTCGATTGGAGAAAACGTCCACGAAGAACGCAACAAGAACTGATTAAACTACGAAATGAATGTAATTTTGCCGAAAATACAGATGTCGTCAGTTTATTGCATCAAAGGATAATGAGGTGCCGAAAATATAATCAAGCTCAAAATATGCTTGCAAAATCAATGGAGCATGGACGATTAGCAGCTAAATTAACAAACGGACATTCAACAACAACAAATAAATCACTTCAGCATATGAATCAAGTAATCACAGAAACAATGCATCGTTTAACTTCATTACAAGAACGTAATCGTTTGTCATTGAATCACAATCCAAATAAACTGTCGATAGTTCCATGGAATCAAATATTATTAGCATTCAAATCGCATCAAATCTTCATTTGGGACATTGAACTGAAGAATAATCTACGTTTATTGGCATTGACCACCACACATGTTACACCAAAAGATGAAAAACTGATTCGTGTCACCAATATTAGTTACACTGAAGATGTGAATAGTTTGCCAATGGTTGCCAAAATGCTGAGGAATGAATACCAATCGGATAGAACCAAATATTTATGTAAGTGCTTTAACTTCGAATTTGTGCACTTTCCCACTTAATGTTACGTTTAAATAACATTGTATTTTCTATTAAAACAGCAATGCTTCTGTTACGGCTAACACATTTTTGGCGAATATGTGGCGTTCTGCATAGCGATCTTAAGTATATGGATGATGAAATTCGATCGAAACCAACACCTGATCAAAATCCAAAACTAAGCCAAAAGATTAACAACCTTTATCGGCTGCTAACAACTCGTGAAATTCAAAATGCTCGACCATTAACTGATGATAAAGTGGTCGGAAATTCTTCAAATGAATCGATTGATTTACAAGAGTCGTCAAATCAATGTGATAGTACATCGAGTCCATTATCGAGTAGTGAACCGCAAAATGTTGCCGGTGAACAAACTGAATCGTTAGAAACGCCCAGAAGTAAGGTCAAACGATATTTCGAAAATACATCAATGGGTTTGACACTGCCATTGCCATGCCGATTAACGCAACGATTGTTAATGATAAATCTTGGTGATGATTTTACACATCTTTGGTTTCATAATTGGCATGACTTCTTAAGCATGAAAAAAATTCAACATTGTTTACAAGAATCGAAACGATTAAAGATACCAATTGAACTATCGTCAAAGAAGAATTTACCGAGAGTTTTTGTTGTGAATACGCATGAAAGTCGCATTTTCATTGGACCGTACGAGCACAACGATCGACAAAATGTTGCACTATTTATAAAGCATGAAAATCATATGGTGCTTCATGAAAATTACTATAAACGTTACCCCGAAAACTACACAAAGAAAACAAAAGGTTGGTATCCAATATAATTCAAGGAAATGTCATTTTTCTCATCTATTTTATATGTTCTGTTTAGCATCATGGATCTATCCGACAACCCACGAAAATGGAAATGTAGTGCCAAAAAAGTATGATTATTCGAAGAAAAGTCACTTGAAAATTGATCAAGTATTTTCAAAGAATGACATGCCACCTGAACTAATTTCCGATTCGAAACGAAATGATGATGATGAAAATGCATCAACTAGTAGTAATCAATCAGTTCGTAGTGGATATTTCACATTGGCGACAACGTCCAATGGTGTAAAAGTGGTTCCAGCCAGTACAAGTGACACGATAGTGGCCACTCGAGTATCATCGAAGGTGTTTGTTCCAACGAAAGTTGTGGAATTGACTTCAACGCGTTTGGAAAATAATTCGAAACAAGAACCGTTACAATTGAAAATTTCATCGGTTGCGTCTGGTGAAGAGGTTACACTGATGACAAATGGATTCTCCGACATTGATGACTTAAATATGCAACCAAAAATTAGTTCCGTTAAATCATTGGCAAAACAAGATGATTTGGAGAATTTAGATGATGACCTTCTAGAAAAAGTACCAAGCGAATGTGGATCCAAACCCGAATCCATTGATATCAGCGACGATGAGCAGCCATCCGATATGATTAACCGTCTGGAAAAAGACATGAATTCGATTCCTACCAAAGCGATATCACCGAATGAATTTGGTCTTCTTAAAGGCTACATGTACTGTATGACGAATAATCATTTGGGAAAAGTGAATATTGAATGGACAGCACCAGGTCGCATTAAATTACATTTGACCGATCCAATTGAAATTGATTGCATTGAAACGGAGACGTACCAAGAGAATTTGGCCACCGTTTCAAATTACATGAGTACGTATATTCGTGACCGTTTTTATGCAGTTTATCCAGCACATTTACGTCTAGAATGGATCTTCATCAAATTAAATGATGACGAACAATGTACAAGTCCCCTATGTGATTTAAATCAAACTGAAGCATTTTCGGTACGAACATTTTTTCAATGAACAAATATTTTTGTGCTATTCTCCGTTTAATTAATGCCTTTTTTCCAATTATTTTTACCAAACAGGTTGTGTTTAAAGACAAAATCGTTGAAATCAATTCAAATTATCGGGACGATCCAAAGTTATCAACAAAGGACAAATATGTATTAGACATTTACTATTTAGCTAGTCAATTATTCAAACAAGATGAAGTTAAAACAATGAAAATCACAGACATCATTAAACGGGTAAGTTAAACAATTCATTATTTTCATTCACTCATCATATGATTAAAAAATAATAATAATTTCTGTTTGTGCCAATATTTTAGAGTCAACTCATCGATGCTCAATTAGATGAACAACAAATTAAATTGAAAAAATATCAAGCCCATTACAAAAAAACAGTTGACCGTTTCACTACCATTTTTACTAAACAAGTTGATAAACAACCACAAAGTGGTACAGCTTAAAAATGGGCACATACAAATATATACTTAACAGTGTTCATTATATCAACAAATTGCGGATTTGAAAAGTAAAATTAATGAAAATATGTTTAGGTTTTATAATCGCAGGCAACTTATCATGGTATGATGATGTTTAAAAAGAAATTCACTCGATTGGCGAGTGTTATAATCAGTCGATATGAATGCATGTATTAAATATCTTGCTTGTATGAAGATAAAAGTTTGTGAATTTTTACGGTATGGTAGATTTGTTTTGAAATATTAAAAAAAAAATTGTATTATTTGTCTTGTTTTGGTACGTTAAATACTGGCAAAAAGATTAGCAATAAGTTAGAGAAAATCAAATTTTTTCAATGAATACAGATTTAGTGGTTTTTTTCTCTTAAATTTGAAATAACTGTATCACGATTTTACTAAAACTCAGCCATCATGTACCCTTAGTTATGAATAATAAAAAAAGCATTGCAAATATATTATAAATATTGTGTTTTTATTGGCATAATTTATGTGCCCATGTTGTCTTTTCAGGTTTTAGCGCAATTTCGATTGTAGCACAAATGTGTGCCTGCAGATGGCGACCTGCGCGCCACTTTGATTTCAACCATGAACACAAAGAATTGTGTCAGCTTTTGCGCTAACGCAAACAAACATATATATCCGAAACCAAATGTTTCAATGTACACACACAGGCGCACATACAAGCACACGTACGCTCGCCATCCTTGCACATGAAAAAGCTTCTCTCCAAATGCTGGCTATGTACCATTTTACATTGCCAAAATATGCAATTTATGTGGTTGATATGAAAGCGAGAGAACGAAAGAGAGTGGAATAAGGGAGCTAAATGATATACAGATACACATCACTATGTACACAATTTCATTGGAGAAAGTGTGCGCTTTAGAGCCGCTCCCTATAATTTTTTCATTTAACGTGCTCTCGATTCATGTGACGTTTCACGGCATAAAATATTAAAAACTTAGAAAAAACTGACTCATTTTTCGTCTTACGATACGTTTTTTGCGTTTTCACCCCGTTTTAAACGTTTTTTTATTTGTTTGTCAAATTGAAATAGTGATTTAAGTGACGAAAAAGAATACCACAAATAAACATACAACCAAATTAATACCATGAACATTTCACTGAGTTTGTATTCAATATTTGTCTGAATAATCGCGAAAGAGCAAGTTATTGTTTTATTTTAGTCTCACATAGTCGATAGTCCAACTGGATTCTTGTTGACTTCTATTTCGTCCTCTCTTTCTTTCGCATGTATGAGAAGCGTGTGTTTGTGCGTGTTGGAATCGAAAAATTGTATATCAATAGAAGGAAAAAGGAGAACGACGAAAACCAAAAAAAAAGCAATTTTCGTCTTTTTTAAATACCAATTTTATGTGTGAAGAAAAAATATAATCAAAAATGTACAGCATATTTGATATTAAAGTTAAAAAATAGCAAAGGAAATTAATACAATGTGAAATCGAATGAAAGAAAAATTTCGAAGCTTTTTATCTTGAGTGCTTCGTAGATATACCAATATTGACGGTCATAATTTGAAAAAAAGAGATGAAAAAAGGATGCTTACATCAGAGATTCGCATCATAATAGCGTTACACTGAATTTATGTTTTTTTTCTCATGACCCATTCTGATTAAACAAAACAAAACAAATTAATTTGTAATTTAAAAATGAGGATAACATTTTTTGGCGTAAACTCTTTATAACAATGTGATGTGTGTTGAAAACAAGTTGTTTGGCGTGAATTCAACTTGGGCGTTAGTCTTAACAAAGAAGAATGCCAGAGGGAAAACAGAACTAAGACACCCGAGACCTCTACTAAAAATACCTGTGATGAAAGTAAAATGAGAACAAAATGTAATAAAAAATCTATTCTTTTTATTACGAGATGTTGCATTTTATTAGTTTGAATAACTATACATTGAAGAAAAATTGGTGAAGAGCTAAGTAAGTTCTACATTGTTGACATTCAGTGTTCGACATGTTTTTGGTTGAATGAACGCGTCTGTTCAGTTAACCTAATAAAGAGAACAAAGACGGAGTGGCATGATAGACGCTTATACACTATTGCCGTTTTTCCCCCAAAATTCATACAAAGAAGACTGCAGCCCACAGAGTTGTTCCATGGAGTTGATTATTAATATTGGCTATTTTTACGCTTTCAACGGCTGATTGTGTTTATTTGTCGATAGCCTGTGTGACCTGTGGCCGACCAGAGTCAATGTGCCCAACATTATCGTGGCCAATATTGAGAAAATGAGTCTTTTTTCATAAATAACCAAATATTAGTAGTGTTCCTATATTAGAAGTGTGCATCGAATTGGAATGCCATTTACATTGGAAAAACGTCCTATTTCCTGACACTCTATTGCCAATAAAATCTTTCCAGTTGAGTGAATGACCGAAAAACAAAAGTTCAAGCACATAGAAAAGACACAATGATACCTATAGAATAAAGAAATTGATTTAAGTTTTATATCAACACACCAAACACTCTCATCGACATTTTAACTGCATTCAATTTTGCCAAATCTTGTATATAGACAGTCAATGCTTTATAGTTCCACATTGAACCATTCTATATTTTATATGCTTGCAATTTGAAAAGTTGCAGCAATAGAGTGTTGTATAGATGGCTATACAAATACATATAAAATTGATTTCATTTGTCGATTACATAATGGAAATTATGTGTATTTAGATTCTCTTTTCGCATACTCATCACTAGCAATTTGTTGCTGGTTAATGTATCACCGCATGTCACTGGCCGCCGATTGAAGCTTCTTCATTTGTTTTTTTTTTCGTGTATGTGCACACCGAAGACCAGTAAACAAATGGTTATGAGGTCCGACATACATGGTACAACTGCGGTTTACATATAGTTGCTGTTTTTTTCGTGTGTGACCAAGTGCACCAAATAATTGGCACATTTCTTGCGTGCGTCATTTATATCGCGCGTGATTTGATGCGGCCATTTGAAAATCATATGATGTGTGATGGATGAGTATTTTTTAGTTGCTTAAATAGGAAATTGAAAAATTGATATGATTCGAATTAGATGACATGGACATTTGTTGAGTTGTATGGAGAGAGAGAGAGAGAGAAAGATATTGGGAGTGTGAGTGAAATAAGCAAAGAAACAAACAAAAATACGAACGGAATAGCCGTTTTATTGAATTTAGTTTAATGGGTCAATTATACATAATGTGAGCCATTTATCTAATTTAAACAATGGTTGACATCGATCAGAGAAATGATTTTGCTTCATATGCAAACACCGCTGCCCATTAAACCATCTGACTGAGCTTTTATTAATTGAACTGAAAGTCATGTCTGTGATTAAATGAAATCAATAAGAATCTAGATAACAATAACATGTTCTTGAATTTTTTATTTTGCTTTATTGCCAATAGGTAGTGAAAACGTCCCTCTCCAAAAGAAAAATACAATTTCATGTCACTGCAAATTGTGAATAAAAAGCCGATGTGAAAAAGAATTGACGATTTCAAATTATTTATTTACAGGTATACGTACAAAACGCTTCATCGAATAGGTTGTAACTTATCTGCGCATAAATCGAAATATTAGCGATAATAATAAAATCAGATGAAGCGGATAGTATGGTAATTTTTCGTACATTTACCTTCACAAAAGTCTCATAAAAATGCTCACTCACAATTTCTTTCTGAATTACAGCAAGGACTATGTATGCATCCCGTAAATTAACTGAAGAAAAATCCGATAAAATTTTGTGTTGTAATAAGCATCGAAACAAGCAACGTAGATTGGCAACGCAGAAACACGTATTATCCATTTTAAATTCGTTGTGTATCTCAAGGAATATGGGTGCCTAATCGAAACCACCAACGCTGAATCGATCAAGAAAATCATCGTTGTTGCTTTTTAATAATCACATCTAAGCAAATAAAAAAGAAAGAAAGAAACAACAACAAAAATTATCACGATTATTTGGTCCGAAAGCACACGTTAGCTGTCTCCTTACAACAGTCATAGCTCAAACACTGCCATTCAAATAGCTGCATTATCGTATTATTAATATGCCGTTGTTCATTCGTTTAATTCAATCAACATGTACTGACATCGTACGGAACTAGATGTGTGTATATGCGTAAAACAGAGAGTGGTGTGTGCGTGTGTATGGGCTTTTGCAATAATGAATTGAATGCTAATTATCGTTGTTTTGTTATTGATAAAACGCAATGCATTCAAGCAAATCGCCCATCATATTGATCGATGTCGACGACTATGATCACGAGAAATTTCAATCGACTACAACAACTACTACTACTACTATTACTACTACTTCTACAACTATTATAACAAAGAATACTTCCAGCCACATCGTGAATATTGTATTAAATGAAAATTGGAAAAACGTTGGGAGGTGCAAGCGGTTTCAAATTTGGCTACTGTATTTTTATTATACCAGAAGAAAGGAATTTTTTTTGCAAACACCATTCGACTGTTGTTTGCAAACAAATTCAACGAAAATAACATCGGTTGACATTCAGAATGTATTGTTGTCATCACCATTGCTGTTTTCATTATCAAATCAAGTAATTTATAACGTGCTGAAAACAAATCTCAATATTGCCTGTGTTTTGAACGACATTGATACGTCACTCTCATCGGATTCAATGTCTCGATTAAATATAAGCATCTACAACAACAGAAGCGTCATCATTATAAGATGCAACAATAAAATGATTTTGCGCAACAAATACGCCCCGTTAAATAATAATAAACAAATTAAGGATTGTGTACGCAGTGGCCAAATAAATGTAGAAACATACTTGCATTCGAAACAACAACCTCAATTGATGTGTCAAATTGAAAGTGGATGTGCAACTTATATTAAAGAAATAAAAACTCAAACGACATTTGCTCAACATATGAAACGACAATTACCACTGCCACCAACACAAAATCCAACTTCACAACCAATCGAATCGTCTATGTCGCCGTTGTCTTTATGTTCATGCGATTCCGTAGTAACACAACACTCATCGAAACAATCCGTTATGAATCAAACAAAAATTACTAATTATTATAATAATAACAATAAAATAAACAACAATCTAAACGTTAAACGAGATGACGATTTGGAAAAGCGCACCGCATCAAATAACGTACGCAAACATTTTGCGCGACAACGTTTCCAGTCGAAAACAGGTTTCGCATCTCCAACTTTGCTATCCATCGATTTAAGAAAGATGTTTATCACTTTTCTGCTTCCATTAATACTACTTTTCAAAATGCTGCCAATGTCCTGTGCCGGTGAGTAAATACACCATTTACATTTTCAATTTTTTGTTTGTTTGTTTTAACCAATTCAATTCTATAGTATTCAAATGGAGTTCACGAAATCAGTTATCGCAAAATTATAAGTGTCCAAATAAATTTTTTGTTTGGTTTTTGAAAATGAAAGAAAGATGGATATTTTGTGTTGTTATTTCAAATTTGTATGGTCATTAGTGATCTGATAAAAAGAAGACAACTTTGAAACGACCACAATCGCTCATCTATGTCGATCTATGTAGTTTAGACTCATAGTCGTTTGTGATTAGTGTAAAATAAATTGATGTAGTTACTAGAAAAGGTGATAAAAAAAACTTCATGACTCTTGCCAAAAGTCTATCAACAATCATTTAAATTCCCATATCTAATTTCAAAACACAATCTTTGTAAAGTGATGTTTCTCTCACTTCAATTTTATAAATGTAAAGACGATGAAAAAAAACGACAACGATACATCGAATTTGTGCCAAAAGCAATTTATATGTACAAAATATGCTCTTTTTCTAGATTTTCTCTTTCCCTCACTCGCAATACTGTTTATTTTTTAAAGACTTGACATGATAGTGAAGCAAAGATATACTCAAGAAAAGGCATTGAAATTGTTCTGTTTTCCATTTAAAAAAAATTGCATATATATCAGAAAGAAATTGTGATGTTTATGCCATAGAAATTCATTAAATTGTGACTATTTTTACATTGTAATGCACACTTCCAGTCGAAACATTGTTGGACCATTTGAAGTGTGTTGTTGAGTAGAGACTGGAACATGAACTTATAGAAACCAAATAAAAGCCTGAAATTGAGTTTTAAATAAAAGCCCATAGATTTCCTCACCTTTTCGTTCATTCCAAACATAAAAAAACAGAAATTTTGATATTAATACAATAATGTTATCAAATAAAAAAAATGTTACATTTTCGGAAATTGCATTATAGTGGTTTTTACATTTATGGAATGTGTAAAACGTTTGCGCCATCACAGACAAAATTTAAAATTAATAAATTGATGAACGAATTTGTGGTGCCTTCTTCATATTTTTCTCATTTTCTCCGTGCCCTTTTCATTTCACTCTCACCAAATTTGACATTTAAAATCTCGATAATTTGTGCTTAACGTTGGTGGTTTTTACGCTTTGGTTTTTCTGTAACCAAAAAGTAATGAAAAAAGCTCGAGTACGCCTGAAGTATATATGACAATATGTTATAGAGTATAAATCATTAATTCGATGAATATTCGAAAATATTCTTTGTCATAAATTTCCCAGTACGAACACGCATTCTTTTAATTTTGCTGTTGAGCATCCATCTGGATGATGATATAAAAATCCTACCATGCTTATATGTGTATAATGCGTAAAAGAGACCAAGCAATTGACTTTATTCCTTCCTTTACTTTCACAAAAGACATTTAATATACGAGTTTTCAACACACAAGTTCCAATTAGTTGTTGTGTGCTTCTCTGTCTCTTGTTTATATGCCACATTGTTGTTGTTTTTGGTCTGTGATTGCTGGGTTGTTTTGTGTTGCGTATGTATTTGTGCCCAAAAAAGAATATCTTTACGGATGCGTGCGTCTGTATCTTATACAGGGCGATCAAACTTTTTCCAATTTTCCAACGCTTTCGATGAATTCGAAAATCTAAAGTATTTTTTTCACCGAAAATGTTCAAGCAAGGAAAAAAGACGCATTATACACATATATGTATTGTTCTAATTAAGCACATGTTCGCATTAACTTTTGTCGCTTGCAATTTGCATCACATTCATAACTCTCTTAACTTATCACCCTGTTACAAAACGTATCAACCCGAAAATATAGTGGCTGAATGTATTTACGTATAACAGTGTAGACACATTTTATGATTGTCTATGTATATAGCTCCCTTTCCTCCAGTCACATATATGCATACAAGTATGTGTGCCTTTTTACTCGCGCGCGCTATCGCATTTTCGCATTTTCAAACCTTGACTCAACATTTTCCATCTCCGACTGTGCGAGATGTATACACACATTAGAGCTACGAAGAACCGTTTTTTTCCTTCCTTCCCATATATTTATGTATATATATCCAGCACACGATCCACTCTCACGGATTTTCTCGGGAAAAACACAATGGCATACTAGAAATATTCAGTCGATTATCATCGGCCGTGCTGAAAACACATTGTTTGCTTCGTGAATCACTGTGGCTAAATTATTTTCCTTTCGAATTCAGTTTAAATGAAATAGCCATTTTGTATACAACTATAATTGAAATTAATTGACAACGCGCTCGCTTGAGAATCAAATTGAAAAGCGATAAAAGTTTAAGAGCACTTTTGATAAACGGGATGATACACACGTTTTTTTCCTCTCTTTCGTGTAGATTATGAAATAAATATTACGTCTATTATCGGTCAATTTGATGTGAATATAATCCACGTATTATTGAGTCCTGACAGCATCGTACAGTGAATGTGTTAGAGTGAGTGTAACAATAAAAGCATCGTCCGGATCATAAATTATTCGAATAAACTATCAATTGAACGATGATAGTTGAAATTGAGCATCATAACATCTGAACAGTGTAATTTAATGTGACATACAGTCTACGAACGAGAAAACATTTAATTTGTGATGAGACGAGCAAAAATATTTCAACACAACATTTATTTATTGAATTATTAAAATTTTCGGCATTTCAATGGTTTGATTGGTATAAGAAAACAACAGAAAAACAAATATCAATATACCAACGATGAATTGAATATATAAAAAATGAAGCTAAAAAAATTTCACCTACATATCTATCAAATGCAGCCAGAGGATATAGCATCACAAATTGATGTGCTAAAATATAATAGATCTGATAGTTCTTTTTTTCTTCTTCACACCGCCAAACTGAATATGATATTTTAATATCCGCCATATCTATGTAGAGAAGCAAAAAAAAAACTCGTCGCATTTAAATGAGGGAAAAGAGAGACAGAGTGGAATATGTGCTCAATGATATATGTACGTACCTGTCAATACCTGTGCTTTCAGGTCAAATCTATGTATTTACCATAGATCGAGAACAGTATATCAGATCCATTGGAATTGCACAAAAGGATGTGTATGTTCATTTAATACACAACGCATTGAATTTATGAAATATAACAATCTATATTAATTTTGCCTTGGTCGCATCATGTGAAATGCTCTGGAAACAACACACACAAACACACAAGAGCGTATTAATTTATAACATAAACACATCATCCACAAATGATCTCTAACCTGTAACTCTCGTCATTCTTCCCCTTCTCCATTTGTTTCTCTCTCTCTCTCTCTCTCTCTCTCTCTCTCTCTCTCTCTCTCCTTCTTCCTCTAACTCTCTTTTCCCAAAATAAAAACAACTTTATTCATAGACACGTTAAGCATCGTGAAAACCACGTGAATTGGCCATTTTGTTTGGCAATACGCAAAAACACAATGAAAAGGTAGAAATATGTGTATTCTTGGGTGCGAGTTTGTTGGCATGCTTGGGGATTGGACTGTGACAACAAAATTGTGACTTTTCTACATGAGTAAATTTCGAAGGATTGACTGTGACAATAAAATGTCTTATCTGGCTTATTCCACAAAATTGATAGCAAGTTATGAAAGATAATTTTGTTCTGCTCATGTGTATTGGGGTACGTACAATTCCCAATTTGGATATTTGTGTCATTGTAAACACGTGAAAAAAGAATTAATCTAAATTACATTGATGTTACTGTGTGAGTTTGGTCAACGCTTTTTTTTTCAATACACTTGCACACATTGAATATGCATTTTGGTGTACAGATTCAGATGAATCATCAATCAAATTATGATGTGTGTTGAACTGAACCTGAGAATACCTATCCAATCTTTATTGAAAACACAATTAATTTATATTTACCACACATTTCCAATGACAACACTCGTTGACTTGACAGCGGGTGTTATGAAAATAATGAAAAATTTCAAGATTTTTTTCCATTCTAATTTTCAATTCAGATGAAACAAACAATGGAATATTGTTCAATAGCAAAAAAAAACCATTCCCCATTCATTTTGAGTTGAAGCGTTCAACTTGAAAATTATAATGGCTTCGTGGAAATCGAGCTCATTTTCAGCAAACATTTTTTATTTATTCTTTTCTTCAAATATAGCCAAAGCTTTTTGTTCATCTCAATCGCGTACAAAAAAAAAACCAGAAAATTTAAAACCATTAATTGGAAAGAAAAGCAAACATAAAAAAACTGAATCATTATAATTCGATAATGTAATAAAAAGCATTTTTAATTGTTGAAGAATACCTCATTTAAATTTCCAAGAATTTAATTAAATTGAGAAAATTGTATTTTTTCCATTTTGCCAAAAAAACACAGACTATTCAGCTGTAATTTTCTATCATGCTCCCACATCATTTTTGTAGATGAAATCCAATCATAAATTGTAATGTAAACGTAATCAAATACAGCCACCTATGATGTTTCTGGTCTCAAATGTCTATCGGATAGATAAAAACGGATTGTATGTAAATGTATGGTTTGCTGTTTTTAAAATGATAAACGCAGTGCACACAATTTTATAAGTACGCCTGAAAACTAACGTTTATATATTTCTTCGCATCATCAGCTAAGATTGATATATTATCGTGTACATATTGTATGGCTGCCTGGCTGTTTCTTTGCAAAATTCAACGAACCATTATACATGCACCATATATCGTTTGTCGCGTGTTGTATAGAAGAACTTCTTTAAAACCGACACTCTTTTCCATCTCAACAAAAGACGTACGTACACATTTCGTGTATATATAGAAAAAAAAGTAATTGCGATAAACATGTGATTTACTTGGAAAATTTGCCAAGGCTTAAGCCCATTTACCACAAAATCTAAAACACAAAAAAAAAAATGCTGTGAAAGAGATGAAACTCCATTATCCGTGTCACGTAGGTTAATAAAACGTCAAAATGAGATAATGATGCGAGAAAAATGCGCTCAAATTTTGAGTGTAGTGTAATTTGAATATGATAAATACAATCGCTAGCACTAGGGCGTAACATGAACGTTAGCTGTTTTAACTTATTGAGCAGCATTGCTCTAGCTCAGACTTGATGGCTACAAAGCCGAGAGCGAAAAGCGCACAAGTACACCCATACACACGTGTACGATACGTGCACTAGGCATATATATTTATATTTAAAAAAAAACTTGATATCATTTCTTCCACCATTTTTATTCGCATTCTCACTAACTCTTGCCCTCGCTTTCTATCTCGATATCACATATCGAGCTGAAAAAGGCACATTTCCTCTAAAAGTTGCAGTATTTATGTTTTTGTTGTTTTCATGACATTGATGTTTCTATAAATAGGTGAATAACGGCAACAGTAGCAGCGGACTGTTTGGTTGTAATACAAAATACTTTTCACAACGTAACCTTTCTCTTGTCACCCTCTCTCTCTCTCTCTCTCTCTCTCTCTCTCTCTCTCTCTTTTTCTCAATCGCTTGTCTTGTTGAACTGCCTTTCGTTTTCTTGTATTAGTAGATCGGATGGGTAGTGCCTCTTCTTCGCTCAGCAGTTTAGACGCTGGTGGCTTTCACTGACATTATATTGAGATATTTTCAGCCAACTGAATCAGCTCGTGCAGTAACGCCAGGCGCTCAAAGGGAGTGAAAACAATGGATGTGATTGTGGATGTGTAGTCGAATGTCCGCACATGTGAAAGTCGAAACTTGGGACTAGATTTAAATAATTGTACCAAAAATGTACTTAATTGTACCGCAATTTATTTTTAATTGTACCTTACTCGTTTGGATAATATTTGGAGCTCACATTTCCGGCTAACTCAATATTGTGATAGAATGACGAAAAGAAAATTCAAAAATATTTTTCAAATTTTTATGGCTGTTAATAATTGTACCTAAAATGTACCTTACTTCCTGAAAGGTTCAAGACGATGGGATAGAAAATATGTATAACTCCCATACAAAAGTTCCAATATCTGGAGTAAAATAATTTTTAGTTATAGTCGGAATGTCTTGAAATTTGATATGCCTTATTTTTTCCGATAGAAAATAACTTTCTGAAATTTTCAAGACGATCGGATATTATCCAAACGACTAAGGTACAATTAAAAATAAATTGCGGTACAATTAAGTACATTTTTGGTACAATTATTTAAACCTAGTCCCAAGTTTCGACTTTCACATGTACGGACATTCGACTATACATCCGTGATTGTAACCACGATAACTGTAACAATCACTTCAATTGTTGTTGCTTCATTTCAGCGCCCGACGTTAGTTTCCTGAGCTGAAAAATATCTCGATATAATGTTTGGGCTTTCAATATTTTCAAAACGGTTATGTAGATTGAGATAGAAAAAAAAAGTTGTTCACTCTTTGCCTTTATTGTATTTTGAATTTTAACTACTGCAACTGTTGTTGGTGGTAGATGCTATGGTTTTGTTTGCAGTTACTTCGTGATTTTTCCTGCTGTATACAGTGATACAGAACAAACATCTGTCACAAAACGTTGCAGAGGCAGTACAGCAGAAGAAGACGACGACGGCGAAAAAAATTAGAGTACTGCAATGCATGAGATGATAAGAGCAATTTCAGCTCAACTTCAATTTTCTTTTGAGTGCCCATCACAAGACGGGAAAAAATATAGAAAGAGACAGAAGAGATTCATTTATATTGAATTGGCATTGTACAAAGAAATTGAACGATCGTGAACTAATTCTCACTTATATTTCATTGCCACAGATTTATGTGACATTCTCTATCATCTTTTTTCTCTTCTCTGTGTTATGGCAAAGGAATAGAATTTACTATGTTCTTTATTTTGTATGTGTGTGTATGTTTTTTTTTGCTTTCGTTATGACACTTCTACATTTCGAGTGACAAATTGAAGGATTGCATGAAATTGCTATTATTGAAACAATGCAGCAGCACATGACAAATGAAGCCATTTTTCAAATGTTTAACATTGGTATTATGAAAATATTGCTATTACACCTTTGCCACATAAATAAAACTGTATGAATGTCACACACCGCAACCGTTGAAGGTGAAGTAGAAAATATAAACAAAATGAAGTTCAAGACATTTAGTTCTCATTTGATTTTGTGAACTTATTTGCAAGGGACAATCTTTTTCATTCAATTCGTGTGTATGTGTGTCTGTTTATTTTTTGTTCTCACTCATGGTAAATGGTAATGCACCGGAATTTACAGTTAAACAAAAAGAGAGCAACATCAAGAAAAAGGGGTTAATTTGAAGTGTATTACCAAAATAATACAATTTAACTGTCAGCATGTAAAGAGCTCATTTGAATTTGTATATACGACATACATTCTAATCTAGATTGTGTTGATTCAATCACGAATGCCATATCCATACTTCATGATCTCTCATGTTGAAAACTGTAAAATATCCATTTCAATGCTCTTTTGCAAGAATTGCATTTTACTACCATACATTTTTTATGCAAACATTCTCTCGATTGATAAGGATTTCATTGCGCTAGAGAGAGAGAGAGAGAGAGAGAGAGAGAGAGAGAGAGAGA